TTTTCTTTTTTTTTTTTTTTTGGTACCGGGGATCGAACTCTGGTCCTTGCACTTGCAAGGCAGGTGCCAGAACCACTGAACTAAATCCCAGGGCCTTCACTTTTAAATATTAATAAAAAACCAGGTGTGGTGGCACAAGCCCTAGTCCTATCCACTGTAAGGCTGAAGCAGGAGGATCACAGGTTTGAATCCAGCCTGGGCTATATAGTAAGTTCAAGGCCAGCCTAAACTACATGGTGAGACTATCTCAATAAAGAAAGAGAAAAAGAGAAAAGAAAAGAGGAAAAGAAAGAAAGAACCAAGTCAATGGACATTCTAGGAGAGCCTTCACTCCAAAAGATAAGCTGAAAAAGGAACCTAAAGACATAGGAAAGCCTCCATTTAAAAAAATTTTTTTTTAAAAAAAGAAACCTAAAGAAAGAGAAACAAGACAGGGATACAAGAAACAAATACATGTGTGGTCTGTGTGTGTATGTGTTTGTCTCAGATAAAAAAATCCTGTATCTATAAAATCAGGACAGAAACTTAAAAGTCAAGGGCCGGGTATTTAGCTAGTGGTTCTGCCGTCTGCCTCAAAAGCACAAGGACCCAAGTTCAATCCCTGGTACCAAAAAAACAAAAAAACCCTTAAAAGTCAAGAAAGCCCCCCAGTTTAAACAGATTCCAACAAATACATATAAAAAAGCCAATAATACAAAGATACTCAACATTACTAATTACCATGGAAATGCAAATCAAAACCACATGAGAAACCACTTTATACCTAGTGGGATGGCTATAATAAAAAAGGTTCTGGGGAATTAGAACCCTCACTGCTGTTGGAAATGTTAAACGGTACAGTTGTTTTGGAAAGCAGTTCTGTTTCTCTAAAGGCTAAACACAGAAGTACCCTATGATCCAGCAATTCCACTCCTAGGTTTATACTGAAGGAACAAACATGCATCCACACTAAAAAGTAGTACACAATTGTTCTTAGCAATATTCTTATTAGCCAAAAAAGGGACATGACCCAAAGCATCCATCATCAGATGAATGCATAATTAAAATGTAGTGTATCTATAAAGTGGAATATTTGGGAAGAAAAATGAAGTTCTGATACGTACTTTAACATGGAAAAGCCTTGAAAACATGCTATGTGAAAGGAGCCAGACACGAGACCACATATATGACTCAATTTTTATGAAATGTCCAGAACATTTCAGAAAATGTTCTGTAGAGACAGAAAGTAGATTAGTGGTTGCTTAAGGATGGGGAAAGTGCACTGCCTGCCTTGAAAGTGCAAGGTCCCAAGTTTGATCCTTGGTAGCAAAAAAAAAAAAAAAAGGGGGGGGAAATATGGATTATCCTTTTATAGTGATGAAAATGTTTTAAAGTTAGAAGTGATGGTCATACAACACTGTAAATGTCACTGAATTTACACTTAATAAGGTTTAATTTTATGGTATCTAAAATATCTCAGTAAAGCTGTTAGGAGAGTTGAGCATGTGTCTGGTAAAGTGCTTGTATAGCAGGCAAAAGGGCCTGGGTTCTTTCCCCAGCACTGCAAAGTAAAAAAAGCTACTGTAGAGTGAATGACAGTTGGGCAGGTGGTGCACACAGTTGATCCCACCAGTCTGGAGTGAGGGAGAATAATCCCACACGAGCCCATCCTGGGCAACTTACTGACTTAGTGAGATCCTGTCTCAAAACAGCAATGAAAATGAAAACAGTGAATAAAAAAAGGAAGGAAAAGAAAAACCTTTCAGAATGTATGGAAAATACAAAATAAAAAAAGATGAGAGACTGATTATTTCATCAGATCCAACATCTGAAAGGAATTCCAGAGAGGAAAAAAACAAATAGAAGCGAGGGAATTATTTGTAAAAATTAATACATGTCTGGTTTGTATGTGTGTATATGTATATGTGTATGTTACTGGGGGCTCTACTCAGGGTTTTTTCACTGAGCTAAATACCCAGCCCCCTTTATTTATTTATTTATGGTACTGGGATTGCGCTTGGCAAGGCAGGCAGTGGTGCCACTGAGCTAAATCTCCAGCCTTTCCAAGCCATTTTTTTGAGTCAGGGTCTTACTAGGTTGTCCAGGCTGGGCTCAAACTTTCAGTCATCCTGCTTCAGTCTTCCAGTGTGCTGGGATTATAGACATGTCACTGTAACTAGCTCATAAGAAGATTTCAGTATCCAGGTGGAACCAGCCAATTAATTACTAGTACAACAAATGCAAAAAGCCCCATCCTATGGCACATCACTAAGAAATTTCAGAAGACAGATATAGAATGAAGATCCTAAAAGCTTCCAAAGGTAACAAAAATACAAAGTGGGAAAAAATGGAATGGCATCAAACTTTTCAGTAGAAATAATGGAACCCAAGCACAGTGAAGACTATAGGATTCTGAGGGACAATTATTTCGACTTTATATTACTTTTACATTTACATTTAATATATAAATATATTTGTTTTTTATGTATTTTTTTACATCTATTTACAGTGTTTGAGCATGTGAGGCAAGCTCCCTATCACTGTACTACTACATCTCCAGCCCATATAGATCACACATATACATACACAGACAGACATATCTATATTCATTATTTCTGAATATCTGTATATCTGAATAAAGATATACAAAGTTTCCAAAAAGTTCCTTCTATTTTGAGATGTGTGCTAATAAAATTATAGACAAAAACCAAGAACACTGAACATCATGGGGAACCGCAGTCTGGTGAGTCTCAGGACAGTAGCTAGATCACAGGCCTAGTGAGCAACCTGACCAGGTTTGAACAGAGGTCAATGGGACTGTGACAAATACGAAATAATGAGGTTAACTAATGTGTTTGCACATTACTGATGAGGGTTGGCAGATCCAGTGGAACATGTAGAAAAAGTGTAAGAATTTAGGGGCTAGAGACGTAGCTCAGTGGTAGAGCACTTACCTAGTATACTGAAGGCCCTGGGTTCAACCCAGTCACTCACACACACACACACACACACACACACACACACACACAGAGGAAAGTGAAGCTGGGTGAAGTGGCATGTGCCTGCAGTCACAGCTATTTGGAGGCAGGTGATGGAACCACTGAGCCAAATCCCCAGTCACAGCTATTTGGAAAGCTAAGGCAGGTGGGTAACCATGTGAGTCCAGGAGTTTGAGACCAGAAGTTCTGGGCAATATAGTGAGACCCGATCTTAAAGACAATCTAGAAAATATTGTATATAAAAGTGAGGTACCATTTGTTCTAAGAAAAAAAAAATGTATTAGAAAGGAAAATAAAATCTTAATATACTATTATGTTTTGCATTAAACAGTACTTATATACTTACAGTAAACTGAGTTACTTAACCAAAATCCTTGAGGTCGTATGTGGAAGCAAAGATGGGGAGGTGGAAATTGTGTGGTACTCCTCTCCTCTATTTTACCAGGAAATCAACACATAATGACAGGTAATTTTGGAAAGGAAATGGAAGGGAGAAAGAGGCTGGGAATTTTCCGTTAAAGACACCTTTGGTGCTCTCTGATCCTTATCTCTAGCTTGATTTTTAAAATATATTATGTAAACAGTTATTAGGCACATAGAGGCTCCCCGAATCCCAGTGGGTGTGCCATCAAAGCAAGAAACTGCCCTAGAAGACAACGAAAACAGTGACTCCAAAGCACTCTCTAAATCATCAGGTACAGGGGCAGAGGGTGTAGGTCTATTCTACTGGACACTCTGCAGACCTGTCCTCTCTGAACCTTGTATGGAAGAGGCACCAACTGGCAAGAGGAGCTCTGGCTGAATCAGTCAGTGCAGGGTGATAACCTACAGCTTCCCAGGGGCCTCTTTTTTTTTTTGTTGTTTTTCCTTTCTTTTTGTAGTGCTGGGTATTGAACCCAGGGCCTCCCACATGCTAGGTAAGTGCTCTACCACTGAGGTATACCCCTGTTTTTATTTCCTGTGACGAGGTGCCAGTTTATATCTGAATGTCCTCCCAAAACCTGTGTTTACAGGATAGTGTGTGACATCAGTGCATTAGTCTACTGATAAATTTACAGCTAAATGTAAGGATGGGAGGTGAAGCCCGGTTGGTGGTGGAGCTGTGACTCAATGGGGGGTGTGGCCTGGAGGATTTATCTCCTTCCCTCCTCCCTTGATATCTCTCTGCTTTCTGTCACCATGCCACGAGGTATTTCTGAGACCATGGACTGAAACCTCTAAAAACTGAGCCAAAATAAATCTTTCCTCCTTTAAATTGTGGGTGTTGGGTATTGTGTCTCGGTGACAAGAAAGTAACTAAGAAACAAGGTCTAAACTGCCCAGGCTGTTATCTTCCTGCCCCAGCCTCCTGAGTAGCTGGTATTATAGGCACATGTCACATCTGACCCCTAGTTCTTTCTAAACTTATTTCTTAGGGGAATTTTTGGAAATAGGCCCTGTATATCTAGAAATGTAATAGGGAAAGCAGGTAACTTGTATGTCACTCATGGATAGATCCTCCATCCCTGTTGAGGCCCAGTCAGATCCTAGTGGTTGGTACACGGTAATCATGTAATAATAAACAGCTGCTAAAGGCCGAATACACCACCTTTCTCTGTGCCCATCATTCCACTTGGTGCTTTATGCCGATCACCACACTCAATCCTGACAACATGTTTATGCAGTTTCAGAGGGGATTCAGAAATGGAGGCTTGGGCCGGGATGCAGCCAACGGTACATCACCTGCTTAGCAAGCAAAGTAACCTGACCAAGACCACACTAGTAAAGAAAAGCTGGGAGCCAATCCAGATAAGGCTGAGCCCACAGCCTTCACAATTAGCAGCTGCTATTTGGAAAGAGGTTGTTATGTCTGTGAGTGGGTGGTAGAAAGGAAAGAATGAAAGGTGAGCTCCCAAAAACTGGCCCAACAGCAGAACCCAAGTCCCTTCCCACTAAGCAGCCCTGAGGCTGGCTGGCCCAAAGCTGGAGACCAGCCATGTAGCCCCGCCCTTCGCCCCAGGGGATCATCCTTGTAGCACCCACCTTCTTCAGAGAGGTTGTTCTCTTTGGTCTCCTTGTCCATCTGGCAGCACCAGCCTTCTAGCCGCTCTGTTTCTGCCTGAAGTAGCTTCAAGAACCAGTAGCCATCTCGGCGGCAGGTCCCTGGCTGTGCCGGCTCTGCTGGGGAGCTGGAGGTCGTCTCAAGCCAGGGGTCAGGCGGGGGCAGTGAGGATGCCTCCAGGGCAGGGTCACTGTTGTCTCCATAGGAGAGGTTGCGCTTGATTTGGGCAATCTTGGAGGCCTGCCGGGGGCCAGCATCGATGCTGATGGAGTTGGGGTGTGGGGTACAGTCTGGGAGACTCCTCTCAGATGACTTACAGCTTGAGTCATTAGCATCCTGGGTATCCGAGTCCGTGTCCCGTCGGGAGGACATACTGTGAGAGGGGGCGCTGCTTCTGTGGGTGAAGGATGGATGGGGTGGGGACAGGAGAAAGTGAATCACCAAGGGGGCAGAGACCAGAGGCTACTCCACCCGGACACACGGGAGACAGAGAAACAGATGCATCATCTGCTCACCATGCGCCTGAAGCGGGTCCCACAGCCCCCGTCTCATTCTCTGCTCAGCCCTTGCCCCATCCCGCCCACGACCACACGCACACACACACAAGGACGAGGTCATAAGGTTGCCTGTTTACTGCAGTGGGGCCAGAAAGACCACCAACATCAGGGTAGCTGGGCTATGGTCCTCACATGCCTGGGCCACCACCCGCACCCCAAACCCAGCTTGGTTATCGAAATCCAGCAAGGAGAAGTGGGTTAGGGAGAGCAGGAGAGGTGAGAGCAGAGGGAGGGAGAGGAGAGGGAGAAGCAGCCGCCACCTCTGTCCGACTTACCGCCAGTCGTCCTCTACCTGAACCCCGATGGACTGGAATTTGGTAGCGGGACTGGGCATGCCTGGGCCACCACCCGCACCCCAAACCCAGCTTGGTTATCGAAATCCAGCAAGGAGAAGTGGGTTAGGGAGAGCAGGAGAGGTGAGAGCAGAGGGAGGGAGAGGAGAGGGAGAAGCAGCCGCCACCTCTGTCCGACTTACCGCCAGTCGTCCTCTACCTGAACCCCGATGGACTGGAATTTGGTAGCGGGACTGGGCTCCTCTTTTGGCACTGGCTGAATGCAGTCAACCTTATTGAAGGACAACGACAGCAACGGCACGGAGACAAAGACAAAAATAAAAAACAAACACCACACTTGCTGCTGAAATTCACATTAGTGGGATGATGCAAACAGACGTGTGGACAGACACATACAAGGCATGCAGACACTGCACATGGGCCCGAGGCCGGACCAGGTTAAGCCGGGCACTGCTCATTCGCACGGAGGCGGGAGGGGTGTGGGTAGAGATGACTGGCTTTCCCTACTCTGAGGAGGGTGCCATCACATCGATCGCTTTGGGTCCGTTGTCCTCCAAGAGGTGGGAACCGTTCCTTCTAGTCCTCTCCTTTACACGCATCAGAGAGAAGAAAAAAAAGGACGACGACGAAAAGAGAAAGAGAACACACACACACACACACACACACACACACACACACACACACAAAGCCACAGCCGTTACTGGTGTAGTCATAGCTGGGGGCTGTTCTGAGTCAAAGACCACTCCCCCAACCCTGAAGCTGAAGCCTGGAAGGGCAGGCTGCAGACGCTCAGACTGAGGCAAACCAGGGACAGCGCTGGGTTTGGCAAGAGCCAGCGAAGTCCCTGGACACTACAGGATGCCATCCTGGGCCTTCATCACACTTGTTGAGCTGAGGCTACTTTCAGCAGCAGGCGACCCTGGGGAGCGCCAGGGCCAATGCCACAGCTAGTATTCACTCTGCAAAAGGGAAGAAACACGGCAACAGGAATGGCCCTGGGGGTCCCTAAAGGAGCCTGGCCAAAGAACAGCCAGGCCAGTCATCCCACAGTCGCTCAAAAATGAGGGAGAACCCATACTTGACCGAGGACTTGGGGCACCAAGAGGTAGAATGAGGGTTCAGGGTAGTCTCAGAAACAGACTCTCCAGTGTCTTGGCGTCTTGGACACATGCAGGGGCTTCCAGGAAGGCTTTCTGAGGCAGAGATGTAGCCACATTTCCCCTCAGCCCAGGGAGCACAGCTGCTTTATCTCCATGGAGCTCAAGTGAGAACACAGACTGGGGGAAGCCAGAGGAAAGGATTCCCAGAATGGGCCCAAGAGCTAGTCTTTATCCCAGCATCAGTTCTGGGTGGGAGGAATCCAGGCCGCTCCGTACTCAGAGCATCCGGTTTGGCAAACAAGAGGGTGGGCTGCCAAAGACCTGAGTCCTGGGACCAAGGTCAGGGACCCCATGGGGAGACGCTCTAGAGGGCGAGGGCTGGACCTTACAGAGAGGCCCACTGGATGGAGCTAAATGGAGCCTGGAAGGCAGAGGGCCAACTTTCTTCCCATGTACACCTGGGGAATCTGACCTGGAGCTCCCTCTGGGGGAAACGAATCCAGGCAAGTACAAAGAATTGCCCAATGAACCTTCTCTATTCCATTCAGTGGCCCCTATGATCCACCTCCCTTCTGCATTTTAGTGCTTTGTCTTTAACTTGGCTACGTTCACTTGCCTAGGGTTGGCTGTGGAAACGGACAGCCCTGCAGCCCAAAGGCCCACTGTACACCACCCGGTCCTTCTTGCTCTACCTTAGGACTTGGAAGGGCTGTCTCCCTGAGCCCTCTGCTCACTACAGCTAGTCCACCCTCACTATCCTGAGTGTACTCGACTTTCAATTTCACTCTACTATCCCTATGGGTAAAAGGTCCTTTCACTTTTTTTCCCCCTCAAAACAACATTGGGGACTGAAAGCATAGAAAGCAGAGCTACATCCCAGCCCTTTTAAAATTTTGAGATAGGGTCTCAATACCTTGCCTAGGCTGGCCTTGAACTTGAAACCCTCCTGCCTCAGCCTCCTATAGAGCAACTCTTAAGCAGGGGCAAGTTTGCTCTGCTCAGCTACTGTAACAGAAAATAAGACTACCGAAGTTTGGTACATGCAGGAGGTACCTTGAAGCAGCAGAGGGGAAGCTGGCACACCACTCCGCTGTGTGCTGCTGATGTGCAATGAGGTTGGTTTCTGAATAGACCTGTTGGTGTGGGCCACATGGCCCTGGGGAGCCACCTGCCCGGACCCTTTCCCATGGAGGGAGGCACTGGGACAGGCATTGCATGTCTTAATGATACAAACCTGGTGCTTCAAGCCACCTACCTGTCCCCAAGGTCCGAGAGGGCTCTGGGCAGTTTCCTTGAACAACCCCCATGAAGAGCCCTGCGTCCGGGGCCACTGGCCCATCAGCATCTATGCTTCATGTGGCTCCCCCTGCCAAGTGGGGCTATGGCTTCCATACCCAAGTTGATCTCGAGTTACAGAACTGTTAGGCCAATCCCACCTCCCAGGGGCAGGCTGGCAGGGCAAAGGGTAGAGTGGACAGACAGACAGTGGACAGCAAACAGTGGACAGGAGGTGGCTGACTGAGTGTAACTACATTCACTTGGGCAACCAACCAGAGGAGCAGCACCATATGCCACAGCTGCAAACTCTGAAGTGGGGGTGTGTGGACAAGGTAGGTGTGGCTAAGGGCTGAATTTGGTTTAGCCACTTGGGATGTACTCCCCAAAAGAGACAACCTTTTCCCAGGAGACCTAGTGGTCCTCCTCCAGATGTAATTACACGCAGGCAGGTGCATGGAGCAGACTGAGGACAGTGCAAAAGGGGTCCCTACTTGTATTCCTATTGATGACAGTTTCCTTTTGGGGATGATCTCGGAGTGGGACTCAGAGCTGGTCAGTGTCCCTTGTTCACTTTTCAGAGCTGCATGTTTTGGGGGTGGCTCCGGGGCTTCAGGGGCTGGGGCAACTCCACCCTGCGTCACGCTAGGTGGTCGGGTACTGCTGTCCAGGCTGTCCGACGAGTTGCTCAGGCCTGACTGGCTTGTCACTTCGCTCTTGTGATCCTGGCTGTCCAGGTAGGTGTCCTGAGCAGATTCAGTACTGCTCTGGACTGTGACTGAGATGAACGGCTTTGACGTGGTTCGTGGAGGGACCGGCGGTGGGGTCTTCTTATACGCCACTAGACATGATGAACCTGTAGATGGGTGAGAGGACAGGGGAGAAGGTGAGGCCTCCAATCCTTTCCAGCCCTTTTCTGGGCTAAAATCCTGCGTCACTTGGTCTAGATCTGGCCTTAGACATTTTCTGAGTGAGGACTCGCAGAGCAAGAAAATGAGGGTCAGACAATGCAGCAACCAAGACAGACACATGTAGGTGTCGGCTCCACTCACCCTCACAAGAGGTCAAGCGGGAGTGTGGTATTACCCAAAGACGTCTTCGATCTCATAGTCACACACAATGGTTTTGTCCAGTCAGGACATGGGCTAGACAGACAGGTGCATGGTGCCACAACACAAGGTTGAGTCTAAGAGGAGATGGTGATGACAGCTGAGCTCAGATAGCTAAGGAATGGTTAACCTTGCTTTCCTCAAAGTCCATGAGAAATCTACTGCTCCCTTGGCTTTTTCTTCTCCATCTTCCCTCCCACTGTGTGTGTGTGTGTGTGTGTGTGTGTG